GCAAAACAAGCGGGTATTTAGGGTTTGCAGCACTGTTTGCCGCCTCGTCTCCTTTTCCCCTCCTTCCCAAGCCAACACAAGCTCTGAGCTGCGCCTTCCCCACTTTTTCTTGCAGCTCTCCCTGAGAAATACAGCTACTCCAGGGAGTCACACACATTTACCTGCACTGATGTCACCTCTGGTGATTCACCCTGTAACTGATGATTTTGTGCTTGTGGAGGAGAACTTTATGAAAATACAAGCATGGGGGAAAGGGATGAGATCCTTTCTCCTCTCCAGACACTCTCAGAGGGCTCCAAGCCATTCCATGCTCAGGATGTTCCTCCATCCCTGCTGCCCATCCTGAACTGCTGCTGGGTTTNCCCCTGCCACACTTTCACCAGACCAAGTTGTTCCAAGCCACATCCAGTTAGTGAAACCAGGAGGAGTTTTAGCTGGACCAGGCTTGCTGCTTCTCAGCTTTACAAGATGGAGTGGGAAAATAAACGGAGTTTAGAAGATGCCAACTCCACATCTTTAGTGGCAAGTGGATAATTTGCTGCTAAAAAGTAGATTTTAGGAGTGGAAGGTGGGACAGGAGGTTCCTCCAGGGCACAGCGGGGGAATGCCAGCAGCCTGGGATGGGATGGGATGGGATGGGATGGGATGGGATGGGATGGGATGCTTGGGACTTTCACTACACTCCATCCCATTGCAGGGAATCAGCTGAGATTTCCCTTCCCATCCCCATTGCGGGGACTCAGCTGAGATTTCCCTGCCTTTCCATCGGGAGCCCAGCCAGGCTCTGTGCTCGCTAATGCCCCTTCTCGTGTGTCCATAGATGCAATATTTATAGAGATACTTACACACACGCTTAAACAAAGGCGGCGCGGGGGCTCTGCCTGAGGCAGGGATGAGCGGCAGCAAATGAGCGTTTTTAATTGCTGTGCCATCTCCTGGAGGCAGCAGGGAGCCCATGGGCAGGAGGAGCCGCTGCTCCCTCTGTGGCCACGCCAAAACAGCTCCGGGCCAGCTCTGCTGGTGTGTGTGTGCTGGGGAAACTGAGGCTGAAAGGCAGGAGCTCTGTGCCCATTTGGGCCGTGAGATGGTGTGGGATGAGCCTGGGGATGCTGGAACCAGGGTTTGGGATCCACCTGGTTTCAAACAAAAGGCTTTGAAGGTGCAAGTTGTGGTGATATCACCTGTAACCACGTCACAAAATGCCTCTGTCTGATTAAACGCTTTTCTGACCCAGAGATGGAGCAACTGAGAGTAGTTCTAAGAACTTTTACTCTATTCTCAGTCTCATGAGAAGAGTGAGACAATACAGATGTTACCATCCACTCCATCACAACCAGAAGCCAACTATTTCTTAATCACGATATATTATAAGCATTTCTTGGCCTGGCCTTTGGCAGGATGGGATCCCCTCCCTGCCCTGCCGGGGATGGAGGGGAGGGATGGGGTTTGTACCCAGCAGAGCAGGGGGAGCACGGTCAGCAGGAGCTGTGTGAGGCTTCTCGGGTTCTCAGGGGCTGGAAAGCAGCCTCAGCTGCAGGGGAGGAGCCGATCCTGCTGTCTCGGCACTCTCCTTATCCCGGCTTCCAGTCAGGGCTAATTGTGTCTGCAGCTGGCTGAATTCCACCCGGGATGCCTGTGGTGGAGGGCAAGGTGTTTCCTTGGCTTTGGCCGAGGCAGAGATGATTTCAGGGTTGTAAGAGGCTCCACATCAGAGCAGGGTCCCTCTGTCTCCCCCAGCCCCCTCCTGCTGTCCCCAGAGGTTCTCTGCTCCATCCCTGCTTCCCAAGCAGCCAAACCCCTGCTCCTCTCCCTCTCTCGTGCAGAGGGGGAGCTGGGCATATTTCTTGTTAATGCTTCTTTTGGTTTCCTGCTGTTTTTCTTTTCCCATTGTATGGAAAAGAGCATTTCCCCGTCTGGGGCAGGAGGGAGGGGGTGTTCCCAGCACTTTGCATTGCAGCCTCTGGAGAGGTTTGGGTGGGCTGGGGCCAGATTCCAGCCTGGCTGGGCTCTGGGAGGTGTGCAGGGCTGGGGGATGTGACAGCGTTCACAAGGATGAGGGAAGGGATGAGGATCTGACTCCATGTTTCAGAAGGCTTGATTTATTATTTTATGGTATTTATTACATTAAAACTGTACTAAAAGAATAGAAGAAAAGGTTTCATCAGAATAGAATAGAAAGGGATGATAACAAAGGTTTGTGGCTCAGGGAGCCTGAGCCAGCTGACTGTGATTGGCCATTAATTAGAAACAACCAACATGAGACCAATCACAGATGCGCCTGTTGCATTCCACAGCAGCAGATAATCAATGTTTACATTTTGTTCCTGAGGCCTCTCAGCTTCTCAGGAGGAAAAATCCTAAGGAAAGGATTTTTCATAAAGGATGTCTGTGACAGGGGGAGCCTTCGGCACTGGTTTGGGCACAGGATGCTGTGGCAAGGGGCTCTTGGGTTCCCCTGGATCCCAAGAACTCCCTGGATTTGTATGCTCTGTGTTGGATAAATACCTGACAGAGATCAGCACATCCCTCTCCTGCAGCTCTGTGTTTCCAGGACCACCAGCACCCTTAGCTGACAGCAGATGTGTCTAGAAAACACAACAGAATTTCTCCTGACGGTTTTGCAGCCGGAGAGTTGGTGCCTGTGTGTGAGAACCTCAATGTGGCACAGGCCAGAAGCCACAGAGAAAATGCTGCTTTGCTTGGGCTTGCAAAGCTCAGGGAGCTCTGGGCAGGAGTGATAACGCCAGCAGTGGCCTCTGTGCCTTCTGGTGCTGCTCAAGAGCAGCTGCTGGGACAGGGTTGCTTTTTTCACTGTGCACCCTGACGTGTCCACATGGGGTTTCAAGCCTTCATGAGATCACGGTGAGGAAAAACCATTTTCACGCTTTAATGATGGGATTGTGTTGGGTTACAGGCAGGGAAAGAGCTTCAGTTTGTGCTGAGTGAATGCAGAATTGTGTTAGACAAGGTTCAGACTGTGCTATGAGAGCCAGGACTTCCCATCCAGGTGTTCAGCTCACATTTATCTGCACTGATGTCACCTCTGGCATCTGCACCCTGTGACGGGTGATTCACCATGGAACTGGTGATTTTGTGCTTTGGAGGAGAACTTTATGAAAATACAAGCACAGGGGAAAGGAT